ATAAGCCCGAGGGCGCACAGCCCGCCGTGATCGGGAGGGTGATTCAACGCGCGGGGGGGCTCGAGCCTGACAGCTAGCAGGGACCGGGGGACCGGAGCCGGAGAGGACGCGCGCCTTTGGCTGCAGGCGAATGAGTCATTTGATAAGTCCTTCTGCTTCTGGATGATGAAACAAAGTCTGAATATCGGAACCATGTCGTAATTTTCAAGACGCACACTGTATTGAGTGTGGCAAACGTGATAATGCTTATCGTCTTTTCCCCTTATTCAACAACAACGAGACCGGCCCAGGCCGTTTAGGTAACGAACCGGTGTGGCTGATAGGGATGAGCTCAGTTCTGGTCTGGGGTCTGGGGGACCTTTAGGCTCAGTGTCCACCGCCTCGCCCGACCCCGACGAGCGATGTGGTACGCGCCGCTGGCTCGGTATGGTGGTCGTGGGGCGGGCGCCTGGCAGGTAGGCACGCCCGTTGCGCGAGCGTGCAAGGCGGGCGTGCCTACCCGGCGTCTCGCAGGCGCTCCCGCGGCTGCAGTGTATAACCGCCACGACCGACCCGAGTTTATAATCCGGCCTCATCCTCTCTGGGAACAGAATGTATGCTGCGAGTTTGTTGCCGCGCCGAGCCGAGCCGGCCTTGGGGGTGCCAAAGAAAGGATTATAATTGGTGTTCGTTACACTCGGGGCGGGGGCCGGCGCCACGCAGCTGAGCAGTCTTGTTTCCCCGACACGGGCGCCGCAAGAGAATCAGTTGTATGTTGTTGTTTTTTTCTGAGGTCAAGTTTTCTCTCCACAGCCAGGCGCAGCCCGTAGCTCTTGCGCTGCCCAACGGCACAGCGCCACCATTCCCGCCCCCGGGCCTGGTCTCGCCACCCCCAACCCCCGCCGCGCCCCGCCCGGCCGCCGCTCCCCGCAGCATCTCAGGCGTCTCAGACATATATATGATGAGAAAGAAAGTTAGCAGCCAGCTGGAAGTAAAGTCATCCGACACTCATTCCGGCTGATTCAATTGGTGTTGGTGCGCGGCGTGGCGTGGCGTGGCCTCAAGCACCACCACGAAAGGCATTGCGGGTGTGGGGCTGCGGGTCAGAAAGGGGGGGGGGGCGGTGTTCGAGGAACTAGGCGCGTAGGCGCGTGCTGCATGACGAATGGATGAGGGCCGCCGCACCCAATTCCACGCGGACTTCTGCCAACTGGGCTGGTGGCTGTGGGTCGCAGCGCGGGGCGGGGCGGGAGGGAGGGAGGCGGACCTGTTTGATTTACCCAAAAGGGAAACACAATCACACAACAAAAACAGCACGCGCAGCGCACCACGGCGGTCAGCTCGGCCCGGGCCTGCTGATGTGAAGTTCAGCAGGTCAATAACTATACCGGGAGGGCACCACCCCACCCCCCCAACACACAGGTACGGACACACGCACAAACACACGTACGCACACACACGCACGCGCCCCCGCGCGCTTTCCGTGTTCTCGGGAGCCCAATCTGCCAGTCCAAGCGCGCGGCCGCCTGTTGCGCCCGGGCGCGCGCGGCTGGTGTTGTTATGAGAGCAAACAAACGGACAGACATTAGCCGCGCTTGGATATTATTGGCAGTGACGAGGATTGGCTCATCCGCTCTCCGCCGCCCGCCCAGCCATAGCCCCCGTCAGATTCAATCAATGTGAACGCGGCGGGAGGTGGGCTCGCGGGCGGGCGGGGGTTGTAGCACCCGACACGTTGATGTGTAAATGGGGGCCTCTTTCTTACGCGCAGCAACAAAAACAATCAGTTGAGTTTGCGAATCCATAGCTGGTCAGTTTAAGTTTACACCCCCGTGAAAAACGGATGCTGAAGTAGTATTAAGATTTATTCAACTAATATACCTACTAAAAGTTATTGGGTATATGGTTTATACATTCGGTGGTGGGAAGCTACTGGGCAGTTCAAAAATTTTCACTGGAACGAAGAAAATGTCTAGGTCTATAGGGTTATTTTTCATCTCTGGTGCTAAACTTTAGCCGAGACTCGAAACACTATTATTCCGTTTCAGATGATATTTTCCTACCATACGATTACCCTTCGTGCCCACTGTCTGTCACTGTTTCGGAAAGCAACTGATACGGTAACGAATTGCACAGTGCATTTTTCGAACAATGAAAACGAGGGGCGTAAACATGGAGGTTCGGCCTGGCCAGCGGGGTCCTGTTGCCTCTGAGTAATTAAAGTGCAGCAGCCTGGCCTGGCTGCCTGGCTCGTCTGGCCCGTCCCCGCCCCGCCCCGTCCCACCCCGCCCTGCCCAGTTCCAGTTAAAATCCGACCCAGCGCAGGAATTGGGATCAGCGGGGAAGACCAAACGGGGGCGGCAAAAACAAGGCCGGAGCGGCGACTTCACAGCTGCAGGAGGATTCCGAGGGCCTTGGCCTTGTAAAATGAATAGAAAACCTTCAAAGACAACCCTGAGAGATATGCAGCTTGCATTTAATTGAACGGGCACGTGTTTTATTCTTCAAAAATTTTCGCGAGAGGATGGCGTGTACATGCTGCTAACCTACTGACACGCTGCTGGCCGGCGCTCCAATCAGCAGACAACTTGTCGTCTCGTGTTCTTGCCCGCCCAGTAGCCCC